TAGGATTAATAACGACATGCACGATAAACCTATTGCCTGATTTCAACATTGGACGTCATTAGTACTGGCGACAAAAAGAATTGAGAAAATGCAAACGCCGAGTTCAATGGAAAGCTTGAAATATCGCGTGCCAATGATTTACCAATGGCGAAATTAATGTTCCACTGAAATCAGGGATGATTACCGAAGACGAGCGTGTCTTCTTCTCGTTTTGAACATTTATTGATGCACGTGTCTAGGGAAGTGAATGTTCCATCCAGCTCTAAGCACGTGGAACACAAGTAATAACTTTGAACTGGTTCAGGAAAATTGCAAATCAAAATGAAAAGATCATTCTATGTATGTACTTTGACTGAGTCTAGTTTCACAGAGCTCCAACTCATTGGAGCTTCGACTTAACTACCTCAGACCTTTGTATTCTTTATAGTTCGACTTTTGGAATTGGATTTTTTGTGATCTTTTAATTGTAGGATTCGATATAAGTTTCAATTAAATATAATAAATAATATAAGAAATAATATAAGAGAGAGAAAGAGATAAGAAAGAAGTTTGGGTATTTTGTTTTATATTATGAAAGATGAGAGTTGGAAGATTTCTTTAGCTAAATTCTTAGTGAAATTTTAGTGTTGCTACGAGTTAGTTAGTCATAACGAGTTGTATAACTTGAAACATTCAGCTTAATCGCCAATCTTGACTTACCAAACTTCACTTTCAGTCTTCACTGCCAGTCAGAAATGAAAATTTCTTGACCAAAATTTAAAATTATAAAGAATGTAACGATAGTCCTAAATTTTCAATTGAATGAAGCTTAGAGACCTGAAAGAGGCCTACAGTGACCTACCAAGTGTGAAGACTAAATTTTCAATTCAAGAAACATACAACTTCTTTGTCAGGTTTGAAACTCATCTGAAAATCTCAGATCTCATGCTGAAAAATATAATTTCACAATTTAAACCTGAAGAATATGACTTAAAGAAGAAACATAATTTTAAACAATGAATAACATGAAAGAGCTATGAAATCAAATAGTCTGCACCCTAACCAAATATTCTTATGTCCAGAATTAGTATCTATAAATTGGTATCTATACCGTCGCCTTACCAGAATGATGATTAGTAACCATAACCGGGAGGATAACCTACCTGGTGGTAATTCATATTGGTGTTATGAGCGAAGACGCGAAGCGAACTGAGAAGATGATCCACGGACGAGTTTATATACCATCCGGACCCTTTGTTACAGTTTATCCTTAGCGCTGCATATCCACGTATTAACCAGTATGTATTAGAATGACCGGCTATGGGTGTGGGAGGTGGAGAGGAGCAGCGCATCTTCCCTTCACTCTCGGTGATGCATCATGGGAAGAGATATCCCGTTGATGATGACTGAAACAGCTTTAAATTTTAATTGGATCCACGCACGTGACTCCTTGATCGCCTGGATCATTCGGCTGTCCAAAGAGCCTCGGGTTCCAGCTAGTAGGAGGTCTCTCAACGACCCTCTTTCCAATCCCTGGGGAACCCTCATGATCTATTGGGTTTTGCAATTTTCTTGTCAACAATTTCCTTCGTTTTTTCTTGCATATAGTGACGTTATATATTTGCTCTTTTTTAATTAATTATTCTTGTCTAGTAGGTGTTTGTTGTGTTTGTTATTAGTGTTTATTGTTACGGAAATGTTGAAGTTAAATTAACAATTTTCACTCCCTCGGTGCTTGACATTTTTTGTTCAGTTTAACACAGAATGTGTTTTATTTTTTCACAGAAAACTCTCTGTCATTTTTTCTAATTTATGAAAATATTTTTTCTGTGTCTAAAATAGCTTTTTGCTTGTAATCAAAATTTTATGGGGTTACCGAAGATATGTATGAAATAGATGAGTATAAATATATATGAGATGTAGATTCTATGAGTTACTTGGAATGTAAGCGTATGCTTTGACACCTGGAAAAGTCATAGAGCTGTTCTACTCGCGTTGCACAACCCGTAGTAAATCTCTTTGTCAACGTTACGATATGAAGGCGATTCATCCGCCGTGGAAAAAAAGGAAGAAACGGAGAAAAAAGGATTTCAATCTCATCCGAGTGCTCAAATGTGCTGAACCAATTACTAACTTGTAATACGAATGAAAGGTGGATGAAGAAATAAGCTTGTTGCATGGTGATCGAACTGGTAAAAGGCAGAAAATAAAGGAAAATCTCGTCTGTTTTAATGCCTCCATAAAAACATTGAAACACGTATCATATAAAAAATAAAAATGCAAGCTACCATTCCAACACCAGAAAATTCCAGTTATCTTATAAAATCGAAAATTAATTTCACGAACTTCTATGAAATATTTTTAACTAGATATTTTCCCATTTTTCCTATTTAACAATCGTTTATGAAATCAATCAGATGAAAATATGGAAGATCAAAAGTTTTCTAGATATGTACAGTGATTGACAAGTTCTCCTGTACTTTCACTCAGATAGAATGTGACCCTGTTTCAATATTTGGCAATAGAAGCACATCGCTGTTAACTGTTCCAGTCAAAGACTGCTCCTACGTAAGGTTTTGCAATTTTTTCCTATGTCAGCCTGTCCACTAAACATCACTTTCAATCAACACCAATACACATAATCTAACATTAGGAATTAATACAAGTATGAAGTAATACGATATATTTCTTCGGTAGACCAATTATCTAATTTATTTTCCTTATTATGGAAGAATTTGAATAAAGTGGTCACCAAAAAGATATACGTAATATAACTTAAGTTGCTTATGTAACATATTAAGATTTCCAAGAAAGCTACCATAACGGTATTCAGACAGAAAATTGTCAACGTCCAGTTAATCGGATTTGCCCCTGAATAGTACATGTAATTGCGTGTTCGCTAGTACTAATGAATTCCACGATTGTACGCTGTTATATCGTTATTAACAGAATGAGAAATCTTTCACCAGGAGGATTACGATCTACGCGTGAGTATTTTTAAGGATCATCCTGGTAGTCGAGGCTGAATATTTTCTTAATTGCACCTTTTCTTCTGGTGTCGTTTCTTTTCCACTTTCAGCTGCCTGGAGGTTTAATGATTCAATTAAAGTTCCCCGAGTCGATGTATACAACGTTGTTGTTGTTGTGTATCGATATCGAATCGGTCGTGCCGTTGTTGATCTGCCGCAGGTATGATCCTATAATTCCGCGCTGTCATAAATCCAATAGTATGGAATAGGAAACTTGCTGTCCCTGTTTAATATCTCTGATCGATCTACCTGTGAACTTTAGAACGACGCCGTGGATCTGGCATGAAATTTTCAATTCAAATGCAGCAATTTTGATTGAACAAAGTATTCCGAAATCATTTTGTGGAAGTATTCGATAATGTAAAGTACTTACACGAATTGGTGGTCGCAACGATGAATGCCATCTTACAGGCGTCAGTATTAAAGTACATCTGTTATTGATACAGAATTGGTTAAATGGAAATAATATTCGTTGATTGAATCGTTTGAATACACAACTAACAATTTCATCTCAGCTATAAATTGTTCTAGTAGTGATATGTTTAGATAGTACCTATTTTTTATTGATCACTTTTTTAAACCATTCTAAGGATATATGTTATATATAAGTATATACATATATATATTGCTGAAATATATATAAATATACATATAATCTCAAGTTTTATAAATTATTGCTTAAATATTAATATATGATTGTTCGTAATTTTAGGATCATAGGTAACAATAAAAGTCATTAAAATATTAATTGCAATGACTGCGTTCTGTATTATAGAAGAGCAATTCCAAGAGAACGCGTAAATTTGTAGCAAGTTACCAAATCTATACTATAGGACCCTCGATTCACACAATGGCAGAAACCTTCACTGAGGAAATACGTTCGTTAAACATACTAGGAGGTTACGTGGTCCGAGTGAAAGAAACCCAATGGTATGATCTCGATCCATAGAAAGTGGTAATTTATGGTTAACGTTGGCGTTAATTCACTTGAATAGCATCCTAGTTACACATGCAAGCCAAATTGGCATCCCTAGGACGCATACAATTATTCTAACCACTCATATAACGACTATAGAAGTTATAATTGTTGGTATTTCTCTCTGTTGTATTTATATTCGTCTTAATAAGAAGTTCATTAACTGGTAGAAGCCATCATAAACAACAATCAGATTACGAAAATGATCAGGTCGAATTTTTTTATGGTGTCAAGACTGATTGTCAGATCTAGCAGAAGACTCGTGGCGAATATGGGGTAACTATCTGAAGCTATTTCTCTATTCAGAAACTTGACTGATGCCAACTAACCTAATCATATGGAACAGTTTCTAAACGATTTCACGCATTCACTTCGCGGAAAACATTAACTCATCTCCAATTGACGCGTTTACTCCCTCAATAAAGCGATCTTCACATCTATTTCTATGATTTGTTCCTCATCAGACATCGTCTCCGCTTATTAGCATGTTCTTTTCAATGAAATTACGAGGTATTGTATCCATGAGACATTAGAAGTATTTTTGCAACTAAATTTTTTCTCAAATTATAATAATGTTTTTAACAATTATTTTTAAAGCGGATAATTTAAAAAATTAAAGTTTGGAAGTTCAAAATTAGAAGATCTAAAATTTGAAGTTTAAAAGATTAAAATTGTTGAGGTTATTCAATGTGTAAACAGAGAAAACACGTGGATAAATTGTAAGGCAGAAAATATATTTAAATAGAAGTGTAATTATAAGTAAGAATACAATTTAAGCTGGTCCAGATCTGCACGCTAGCTGTGTTACCCAATAACTGAAAACCCCGAAACCAACGTCGCCTGTCTACTGTTTATGGTCTGACTTCGTCGCAGTCTTTTGTCTACGCGCTGTCGCTGGCTTCAGTGCTTGAGAAAACTAAAAAGACCAGATGTAGAGTTTTCTTAGAAGTGGTAATCACTTCAACAAAAATTGTAATTATTAATCTTGTAAATTTAGATTACAAATACTTTCCAAATCGTCTAGAATTTTCAAGTAAAATAATTTAATATTTTTTACAATAATTTCAATTACATATCTAATCTGTAGGTTATTGTGAAATTTTGACTATTCGAAAAAATGAGATAGAATGGAACGTACATATGAAGCCATGTATAACAGTTAAATCGCAATAATGAGGCCAAATAGTATGGCAAATAATCATACGAGCCGAATGACATGATCGTCATCCAACACTACTATTATATTCGTTTCGTAAAACGTATTACTCGCTCAGGATTGCCGGCAGTTACTTAAATCGCCAAACGTAGGCGATTCTTACAACATGCTCGAGCACGCGGGAGTCACTTTCCCCGCAACCCCTTATAAATTCACCATTAATTCCTCCTTCCAGCTATTTGAGTAAAATATCAATTTTTAATCAATGATTCAAATACAAAAATTATATCCTTCGAGATTCCTAATTACATGTGTGACTATAATTACTACAGAGCTAAAAACTATAAGGTCAGTGCAGAAAGAAATACGTTTGGCTGCTATAATAATAACCAGTCTCTATTTAAACTTGTAGCAAAAAGAATTTTCAGCTATATTAGTCACAATCATCAAATTATTCACTTTTTTAGGAAGATATTTAACTTACTTCAAAACTGGAATGAGAAAGCAGAGAGAAGACTAATTTGTCTGTGTTTCCAGATGATTAATGGAATAAAAATGATAAAGAAAACACACAAAAATCACTCAGATACAATAAAAAGCGCAAAGTCGATACAAAGATATATATAAGGCTCTCAATGCAGAATTAATAACTCTTTTATTCATGGAGTAGCTGATTTGTTGAACCTGTAATCAGCTGTTATGAATATATTCCTTCAACTACTACATAGGGGCTTTATTGTATTTACAGAATTACAACCACACGACGATGAATAGTACAAAACATCCAGGAATGAATATTGAATGGATCTGTCATAAACTTGTCCCAAAAAAGCATCCAGTAGCCATACCCAATCACTCAGGACACCTTTACTCTATTTATAATCTCACTAAGTTATTCAACCTTGAAAGGATCAACCAGCAAATCGAAAAATCACTTGAGTTCCTATTACGAAGATAAAGGGATCACACTAAATGACCTACAGGATCAATAGTTTCGCAAAACAACTCATAGTAGTCTCTATAGTACACACGTGGTTAGACTATACCAATTTGCTATAATGATTCGCCTTTGGCATATTTACAGCCGCTAATTCGTTTCCTAATCTGATTTCGTAATTTTAGTATAGTGTTGCGTTATCTTGAATAGCCGATACAGGCCAGTCTGTGACGGGACACTTGATTAGTCCCGACATAATTATCGCTAATTATAGCTGACACAGTGAAAATGAGTTCGGGGTAGAGGCTGGCCTGCATGGAAGCTCGTGTCCCATAAGAGCGCCCAGATTCTGTCTTTCTCTTTCTAATGTTTGCCACGGAATCACGGAGTGAACGTTTTGATGCACCGTCTACTCCGTAATCGGGGATAAACGGTAATTGTGTAATCGTTGCGATGCGGAAGACGTGTGGAGCCTTCTGCATATGCATGCATGTATGCAGAATGCACGTCTCTCCTCTTTCTCTCGATCGGTGTTCTAACCTCGCTCACGGAAAACCCTATAATCGACAGCTTTGTCTTCTGGTGGTTAACTACTGATGCAACTTACAGGTTATACATCCTGAGGGTCGCTCTCGGATTCTCTCAATGGGATTGAAGCTGCTGGAATCTTTTTTCTAATTTATCCTAGTAAGTATCAACATCAGATTGACACAACGTTTTACTTTCAAATTTTGTAATTTCCAAATGTTCAAATTTTTTTATTGTCAAATCTGCGAATTTTCAAAATTTTAGCTCTCCAGATTTCTCAGTTTTTAAATGTTTAGATCTTTTCAAATATTTAAATTCTAAGATTTTCGATCTACAAAGTTTCAAATTTTGTGATTTTCATCTCTGATGTTCAAAGTTGTTCGTAGGTCTTCCTACAGATAATTTATTATTGGTTGAAAATATGAAAGATATATGCTAATACCCATCCATTATGCTACAGGATATTTCAAAATTAGCAAAGTCTTCGACCAACAGAAAAATTCCTAGGTATCATATTGTAAATTGTAAAGGATAACAACACAGAATAGAAATGTCTAAGGACAAAATCTGAGACAGTGAAGAATCTCTGAGGTGTTCAGAAGTGATGAATGTTTTCGAGGCTTCATCCTCGTTTCGGCCGTGGTTTTTTTCACGGTGAATCCAGAGCATTAGAAGCATATTCCAATCATTATCCACGTTCCTTTGCAACGGCTAACGTCTTTCATGTCGAAGCACCGGCGAGATGTACATACGTACTCTTTAGTCGAACGCATTACCGATTACGCCATCGTTCTACGAAACCTTTTTCGCAACTTTATCCCATCCGTATTCACCCTCGCAACAAACCATATATGAATAAGACGTATCCGGATACCATTGATTGTTACTGAGCCTCCTTCGACTTCTCTCACATTACATTTTTTGTCATTTGTCACTTGTATATCTTGTAAATTGAAATTTTATTCATCTATTTACTGATGAAATATGAGTTACACTAATTAGAGGACTTTTATAAATCCTTTCTTATAAATTGAAATTTTATTAATTTATTTATTTTTGAATTGTGAATTAAATTTGTTAAGGAATTTTTTTATTCGGTTCTCTTTTTCATGTGGTAACTTTTTTGACGAATTGTTGAGAAAAGTTTGACTTGAGAAGCGAAACAACTACAAGTTTAAGCCATTAACAAACATTCTGTTTTTCTATGGTAATTAGACTGACAGGTTCTTGGCTAAAACAAAAACCAGAAAGAGTCATAATTACAGGTTTTTGATGTTTCTTTTCATATAGTCCTTGAATCTTTAACAGGTTACTAACTAAAGTCAGTTAGTCCATAAGAATTAGTATCATATTTCTAGATTTGTTATATTTCCTTTCATATGCTATTGGCTAGAGACCTATGAAACAGATAACGAGAACTATAAATTTTAGATATAGTTACTTTTTCTTACATATTTATTGCTTCTTCTCCCTAATTTTTCAAGATTTATCTATATAGTACCAAGAAACTTAAACTTAAATCCTTCCCTCCTAATAAATGTGTCTACATATTACCCACTTCTGTATCAAACTATTTATAAGAATAATACACGACAATTAAGGAGAACCATAATTATTGTCCAAAAATTGTAAGAAGATTCATAAACATAAATCATATGCTCTTTCCCCATAATATCTATTTCCATATTGAACTATTGTGAAGAACAGTATACATAATTAGTAACAGCTATAAATCTAAGTCATCATCTTGTGTAGATTACAAAAGACATGTCAAAAATTAAACTAAAACATCTACTTTTCCTAATCCAAAATCAACAGACAATTGTTATTCTTGCAGGTCACTATCAGATCCAATAGAGCTAACATCTGATCGTCAATCCAGCATATTTATTGCATCGTAGAAGTACCAACGTAACGCGTCTCTTCTCACTGACCGTTCTCCGACAGTTTTAAACGAAGTCAAGGAAATTAACTTTAAATGGAGCGTTGGGGCTCGCAGAAAGCACTTTCAAAACTGTTGTAGCACCGATTAAACCAGCAACTCATCTTTCACGTCGGCCAATCTTAGACCGCGAATCAGACGCATCCTATCCGATTACGTCACGTTGTTTTCGTAAGTTCGTTCTAACACACGCTACAATCAAAGAGCCTTTTTGTTCTCCGCTTCGCTCACCTTCACCTTTGCTTTCAGTCACACATCCCCTGTCACCGGTGGAAGGACAAAACTGCTCGTGTTTGTCCTTCCTGTTTCTATGGGGCTCAGTTCTGTGTCTTCAATGCGAGAGATTAGTTGAAAGTTTAATCATTATTGACTTTAAAAATAGGAAAATAAAAGATTTTGTGGTTGAGTTAAGTAATTACTTTAACCCACATATTGAAGTCTTTACATTTTTGTTTTAAAATAATAGTAATTGTAATTATTATATATTAGGTACATCGTTTTTATTATTTTATTTTTATACGGTGAATTATTGGCTCAATTTTAATATACATAATATAGATGTATTAAAACATATGTAGGTATGCATAGTATTTCAAATGGGTTAGTTACTAATACGTCCTTAATCATCGATTTAGGACTTCCAAATAAGTTTTAGAGCTAATAACGGCTAGATCATTTATATAGATATTTTTATGGTTCTAGACCATAATAAAATGCAAAATCCAAAGAATGTTTATTTCTATTGAAAACTTAAGAATACACGACGTATATTAATCCAATCCGTTAATGTCGTGGATGCTCAAAAAGGAACTCGACGTTATGCGCTCATTTATCATATATCAGTGTTTCGTATGAAACGAACTGATTTTACGCAGCGTCTAATGATTAATCGACTATCATTAAAATGAATCTCGCAAACGATAGGGGAATTGTCATTACGCCTACGTGAGTATTTATCTGCAGATACGTAATAACCGTACAAAAAATAAATAAATAAATAATAACTAAAACTCTTTTCTAAAAGAATTTACTTTTTTTTGAGGACTAAGTATAATGTCTACATTTTAAAAGTTAGGATGAATAGTCAGTCAGTTCAGTGTACTTGACTATTTTGACACGTCGTGGAATCTCATCTGGGACGCAATTTAGATGTTACAATATCAGAGAAAGCGTCCTCTCAAGCGCATGCCATGTTCAGGCTTCCTGGTGACATAATATGAAATAACATCGATCGAAACTCGATCCATTACGGATGCTTCTCAAAACGTATCCAGATTATTTTTTTCTGCGAGGAATGAAACATTTTTCAATCAGGTTTCGTTCTTCTTACCTACTCGATACATCAGCATGACGCCAACTCGATTAATGTGCGATTTCACCAACTGTGAGAAAATCAGTAATTATACAATCAGTTACGGTAAAGTAATATTATTTATATAATCAACGAAGCTCTTGGATAGACAGCAGTTATTTGGATTTCCTATATTGATCGCATCTGATTCTGAGACTGCTAATTTATGTTACATACCTTTCATTGTACGAGCATTCATTTCTCAAATGTTCTGTAATATTTTTAATGCTTTCGTTATTTCAATTATTTTTGCTATTATAATATTTTTCATACCGTGTTGCTTATTTTTTACGTATTTCAATATTTTTATTATGTCTGAATATCCTTTAAAACACTTCTTAAGTAGTTCTGATTATTGTTATTATTATTATTATTATCAGATTCATTTTTTAGTTTTCTCGTACCTTTTATAATGATAAGGGATTGTATTAGAAAATTTGGGAAACACAAATATAAAAAGATAAAATAGTTTTTATTACAAAATCGCTAATCTTACAGGACGGACGCTTCTTATCCTATGCTAACAATAGGAATTGTACTAAAGTCACTTCTTAAAGGCTGGCCCGTATGTCGTCGATGGCGTCCGCGTATTATAGTTATTGCGAGCTCCAAAGTTGTTATAACTGTTGTCCAACGAGTTGGAGCCAAATCGATAGGGATAATTGTTACCATTGTTGAAGCTTCCACTTGGTGCTTGGTAATTGTAGCCTCCATTATTACCTTCAACCACAAAATGTAACAATTAGTTTTAATTAACTCCTCCAAATTATATGATTCTTAAATAATATTATGAACTACCCAACTCAGTTGGGTAAATAACCCTCTAATTATTAACAGCTGTATACCTGGGGAATCATAAATTACCTAAATTGCCTGCGTTGTATCCTCCACCTCCATTATTACCATGGAAGCCAAAACCTTGGCCACCACCCTGGTTATTATTATTGTTATTGTTATTATAACCATTGTTCTGAGTGTTGTACTGATCAGGATAGGTTGGTGTACCCTCGTATCTTACATCTGCATGGAAACCTGTCCTCCAATCGGCAGTGTAAGTCACAATTTGCGTCCTGCCATCTGGTAACTGAACTCTGTATTCTCCTCTTACAGTTTCCCCATCACTGCTCTCGCGTCTGCCAAAATCATTTCCGGTTGCTTGATCTTTCACTGCATATCCGAATTCGTAGGACATTGGCTGAAACGATGTTTATATTCTTCTTAACATGATACTAATAGTAAAAGTGAAATAGAATTATTCTTAAATATCTCGTCTTCGATACCGTTGATGATACCAATGGCATATAATTTTACAGAACATTTCATAATTATATGAAAATATTAGGACAAAGTATATTGCTGTCCATAGATGCCAAAATTCGTATCTTTGAAACTTTATTGCTAGGAAACAAACCTAACTTTCTATCATCGTTATTCTTTCATCTCGATTTACCTTTCCTTTTAAAACATTCTATATACATAAAAATTCGAGATTTAGGGGAGTTATCTTTTTATAAACATGTAAGTAGTAGAATGAAATCTGATGTTGAAAATTCTGTATCTTATTTTTAATTAGTAATTTAATTCTAGGTCAACTTTCGATTAATGATATCTCAATAATAACAGTAACGCATAAACAATGGAGACGTTATACTCTATAATCTCTATTGTGCACGCACGAGCCTTATTTGCATGTTAGGTGCCGATCACGGATTCTGTTGTCGGACTTTCTATTAAAGTGGCTTCTCAGATCACCGCTTTGAATGTTTTCCTAACCTAATTCAATGATTTCATTATTAGACTATTGTCTTCCCTATGTTGCTTGATAACACGAAGATGCCATTAGAGTGGTTGGAACTGTTTATTATATTCTTTTTATATAATCTTATTTTTCTATTTAGATGATAAATAATTCCAATAACTTTTGCTTATATAATAATTTTAACCAGTTTCATCATCACTTTCCTTTTGATTTTCTAGATAATTTTTGTGATTGATGTGGAACAATAGATTCTTCTAAGTGAATGCAACATGTGAAGAAGACATTAGAAAGTGTTACACTTTAACTGGTATAGTAACTTATTACGATTTGTCAATTGTATCATCTCTTTGAATTACTATTATTATACTAATCCTTGAGATGCTGATACCTAATTGTCTAAATACTTTCTCAAATTGATATATTTCCATTATGTAACAATTATGTTTATTATTATTGCCAATGTAATATTTCTTTGAAACCTCTTTTGTTCACTATAAATACACATGTAGAAGATTATTATAATTTCAGAATTTCTTAGACTGTTATTCTCATTATGATATTTCTCTATATTATTATGTATTATTTTCCCAGTAACTTTTCTAGATTATTATTATCATTTTATTACTCCTATCATTACACCAATAATTAATTTAAATTTTCTAACCACAGACTCAGTATAAGCTATCATTCATGGTTATTGAAGAAGTTAAAATGTTCATAGTTATTCACACAACACTACCAAATTGGCTTAATACTGTATTTAACTTGCATAAGAAAAAAAAAGGATGATCTAAATGCTCAAGTTACACCATATAAGTGGTTACACCGAATGGCTGGACTTTCATCTAAGGAGAAGTGGTGCAAACGAAGTGACTGAAGAAAAACAACAAAAGGAGGAAGGCGACTGTGATTTAATCTGGCTCGCGCCAGGCCGTTCGACCCCGCGGCTAGAACCGCGCAAATGCACATAACCGGATCGTTTAGATTCTTAAGATGATTAGCTAATCGGCAGTAACGATTTGCCACGGATGATGCCTACGGTCGCGGTTCACCCTATTAATATTGTTACATCAGACTAAGTTTACGTCATGCTACATAACAGGATGAATGTATAACATTTCATGGTGGAACACCGGGATTCCGGTGCCCACGTACCATTTCCGGAACCTGGAATAGTGCCACGGGCACAGTTTTCTGTTTCCTCTTCGTTGAAGTTATTTTTATTATAAGTAGATGCTGAAGATATTCTTTCAGAATATAATTATTATTTTTGTTATTTTATGAAATACTTTGTTAGATCAGATTGTTTCTGTGTTGAAATATTTATTATATGATATACATCATCTCTCTGGGAATATTTTTTTATGAAATATCTTTTCATTTCTTATGGAACGTTTCTTTATTTTAAATATTCTTTTCGTAGATTATCTTTTTCTGAATCATCGGTATTTAGAAAAAATTCTTTTAATTCCTCGAAATAATGTCTTCACTGCAGAAAATTCTCCTGTTGTGTATCTCTTTATACAATTTAATCCAAAATCCTCCCAGACGTATCATCTCCTTGGTGAAAGATTCGTTTCAGTATTTTCAACCAATCCGGGTGCATTTGTTCTGCGTTCTCTTTAACTCGCCAACGCTTATCCTCCATTAGAGCCCGCAGAAAGTTATGCCAACCAACATTCCTGATTTCATACATGATAAACTCGTTTACCCATCGAGTGCGTAGAGCAACGATTCCAACAATCACGTACTGTTCATCTTATGGTCGTCTAGAAGGATCCAACTACCATAGTATGTTATCCTGTCCCATTACGTGCATACATCATCTCTTCTCTCCTGGACTATCAATCTCACGTTATAAGACGCGTTATATACAAATATAGTATAATACATACATAATAAATATAGTAAATCATAATCAAACCTTGAAAACTTTTTCTAGGGAAAATAAAATTTTAGGGATATTTCTGGGTGGAAATTCATGCTAATGTATTTGAAGTACCAAGGCTTCAAATCCTGTTGGACACTTGTTGGATAAGCATAGCCATTTTCTGTTAATGTAATTTCATCGGTGTTGCAGCGACTCGAGGAGTGGTTATTGTTCTCTGTCGCAACGAAGTTGAAGTGCTTATGAAGAACATAAATTCCCGTAATAGCGCTACGAAACGAGTGGTCTGAGATCTCCTTTAAATGATTCTACGATAATTCTTCTCTTGTTACAGTTGAAATAGGCGATTACCATAGGAGATTAATAGATAAACAAAAATAAATTGAAGATGAAATTACAATACATATAAGTTTTATAAATTTTCAACAATTAGATTTTGTATTATAAAATAATAATAACAATTTTACAAATTCTAATAAGTAATCATTTTCAACTTTCAGGATATCACGATAGAAGATAACGAAGAGAAAGAGAAGAGATGCTATCTGGCGAACACTAAAGTGCAAAATCGATGTCCGGTCGATCCATTCTACATTTACGTAAGCAGATCGTGCATTGAGTGCTCGACAAAGTTCAATGTTACTTGTAGAATCAGCGTTAACCCAGATCTATTCATCTATTGCAACCCTTGCCTCTACTATGAAACAGTATGGCGGAAATGCAGAATGAATGGATCAATGAGTAACGCGGTTTAGTGAACTAAATCGTTCAAGATCAATTTCCTTTGCGTTATCTCTTCATTTAACTGGTAAGTAATATCTTGTTAAAAACAGGTCCCATTTTTCAACTTTCTTTCTATATTTTTTTTATTATTTTTTCTCTGCTTCATAATCTCTACTAAGTTATTGAAATATTAATACACTGAACAGAAATGTTATTTTTTACTTTTAATATAATACTTATACTTTTGTAATTTTTCGTTATATTGAATTATATCATTACGTTATTATATCAAACAAAACTGTTTTCAATATCAAGGAATATTCTAAAAAATCGGTTATTGTTTGGTATAGCAATTTCTTAGAATAATGCAGTGTTTCTAACGCCAAAATGAATTTCCTTAGGGTAGCATCAATCGTTAAAGAGAACGTAATTTAGTTTCTATCGCAACAGCGAATTGTTCCTTGTTCTGAAACCAACCCAAGAAGAAGGTAATTAAGTTTAAGCAATCGTGATCGTTAGATGCACAAAAGAAGAGATCTTAAATGGCAAGTAATAAATAAATTATACCAACCATCTTATGTATATCTAACCATCGTTCTGCGATCTTGACAGAATTCAGATTGATGATTTATGGTTAGTAGAATTTTACAAGGGGTGTAGATTGATTTATTTTAGATCACAGTTGCAGCTTACCTGATCGACGTAATCATTATCGTTCCCATTGTCGTAATGATGATTGCCAAGACCATTTCCACCAGACGTTCCATGGTTGTTGTTGCTTCCAGCATAATTCCCTGGGACACCGTATTGGGTATTCAATGGTGGTTCACATTGCACAATGCCTATGCTCACCATGAGGGCGAGAGTTAACTGGAAATTAAGGACTAGTTAATCACATCAGACACTGAAGAATATTTATAGGATACACCTCAAGAATTACTTCAGAGATCTACTGATATTTCTGGATTGTACGTTAAAGATTACTGTAACTAGTGAGTAAGAGTACTCATTGTCAGTGACTATGTTTTATGGTACGTTTCAAAAGTCTAAAGGTAGATGAGTATTTTAAGGTAACCTTCGGAAATCTATCTGAAAACTTAAAAACCTATCAGTGTCTCAAATCTCAATAAGACGGCATTGGCCTAATTATTGATTCTTAAATATTAAAATATTACTAATAATAATATTGTCAATAATATTATCAAGTTGCTATTCTCTCATGATAATCACAACGCATAGCGTTAATAGTGTAATAAAGGAGTAGCGCGAAGGAATAATTAATTCGAAAGGTATCAGACAGATTCCCAGGCGTAGAACAGATGCGTCGCGTCGAAAGCGCGAGATGATCAAGGCAGCTCACGTTGCGTAGGCGAGAAATTGGAGTCGTGAGCCAGCATTTTCCTCCCGTTTCTGTCGTGAGAAAGCCTCCGAGTGCGCAAAAGAGGGGGAAACGTTGCGTCATGTCGCGCCGCGTTCAAAATCAGCGCCAGATTAAGCGCGATTGCGGGAAAGGAAGAAGAAAGATGAAAACGAAAGAATTAGACTGTGTTCCGTTGTACTACAACAAGTTCTCCTTAAAGAATCGTCTTGTTATATATGTATCCTTTTACAAGGAAACAAATTTTTCAAACTCACGCAGACCACCAGTCACGCTCGCTGTATTGTGTACTGAACAATATAATAACAGAATATTGGGCACAAATTCATCCGGATGTGAAATAAGAAGTATAACTTTCGTTCATGAATAAGTCAACAGTGATTTAATTATATCTATGAAATGATCTTTTAAATTCCAAGAGGTGTTACATATGGTATTAAAGAATTAATAAATAATAAAATTTTTTCAGTATTATAGGTTAATTGAGTAACATATTATAGAGGATAATAAATGAGACACTTCTTGTTCAATAAATATATGTCCTATTTTGCTCTGTTTTTCTGGTAATGGAGCTTCAACGATAAAGGAGTTAAACGCCTAACATCAGGCAGTCCGCTATACAATTTTCTGAGGCGCGATGTTCGAAGTATACATTTTCCCTTTGGTTAAAAATAAGGTACAATTAGATAGATGTTTATTGGATAAAAATGTTCATCTTTAAACTATCTATTATTTCCAAATTTTCAAACCATTGATTATATTTATAATTCATTAACATTGTGAAATTCTTGTAATTGTTTTTATTATTATTTTAAATTAATCAAATTGTGCTCAAGTTTGTTACATAACATAAGTTTAATGCTCTTTATAATTTTTTGAAATTCTCTACAATAATTATGTATTCGTTCAAGGATTTTTCTTCAGTTCTGGTTATTATAGATGACACAATCGGAAGTATTGGAAATGGAATTTTCAATTCCATTGTACGAGAAGCTTGATGGAATTCACCTTTAATTGACTGCCCAGGATATGAAAGATTATTCTAGTTATATTTATCTCATTTTCTTACAAACAAAGGAATTCTCTATCTGCTATTATTCTGATGAGTCAAATGATTGAGCAATCCGGCATATATGTGTATATGCTATTACAATAATTTTTGGAAAATGGCTTAATTTTTCAAAATCAGTTATTACTATGTTTATTAGTGTATTCATTATATTATAATAACCTCATATTAACATTCCACGATGTTCTATAATTTTTTTCTAAAATACATCGTTAAGAAGTGAAAATCGACAATGATTTATACGGCGAAGGGTACCATTGTTTACTACATAACGTAAAAGACAAAAAGGAGAAAAGTCTTTCTAAACAGCTAATTATAAAAGCTGATTATCTGTCGTGTATAATATGCCTTATATGCGCGTGAAGTTATTAGATATTAATTGTAAGAAAATTAACCTACATACACGATGGACGTATTTCTACTCTAATATATTAACAAAAATTCCTTTACCTATATTTTTATGTCACTACAAAATTAGAAATACACAACAAGATCACGATATCTCGACCAACATCATACTAAAAATGTATTTGGATCTCGGATTTTAACTTGAATCTTCACGTTTAAGATCTTTATAGCGCCCTCTGGGACACTGATTTTCGTAACAAGCTGTAGTTGCAGTCAAGCGTGTATGTGCGTGATGTCATTTAACGCGAGGTTAGAATAGTTGCACGTAGAACCGGTTGCGAAACGCATATGTTGTTATTTATATTCCCGTGTAAAGCGTACGTGCCTGCGCCGCATTAACGGAGATGATTACACGGGACCAAGTGCACTTACATAATGAAATGCAACAGCCTACTGTGTATCTACAAAATGAGCCATACAACGTCCAACTGCGCCTGACAACCACTACACTTCACGCACTGGGGAGTACTGATCGCGTAAGATGACGTTGATCTAACTATTCATCCCAACTGGGCGCCCAGATCATTTTCTCCCACTCCATTGAAGCAGCGTCAACGGTGGTCGAACCACTTGGGGTTAGTAAATTGCACTTGCAATATTTGCGGTTAGAAAATGAAGAAACTTCCTTTTTTCTTTAAATTTTTATACGTTAGATCTAGAAACTAGTTTTAAAACTTGAAATTGATTACATTGGAATTTAAGAGAAACTCAGTTTTTAAGAGGGATGGTTGATGAAGTTAGTGGAGTGTACATTCATATAAGTATAAGTGGGCATTTAGAAGTTATGGCGTTTTAAGTTAGGTTGTAATTAAACCATTAAGGAACAAACAGTGGAATAATGCGTAAAAACTACTTGAATTCAATATTCTTTTACAATAATAAATTTGAAGATCTGAAAATTTGAAATCTTGAAAATTGAAGATATAAAAGATTTAAAAATGAAATATGTTAACGCATCCTTGACGTTTGATAGATTAATGGACCTAACCGATGGTAAGTGAAATTAGTTTATGGAAGTGTTAATAATTTTATCAAAGGAAATAGTAATTAAATATTTTATGCTATTCACAAGTGCTAAGAATAAGAAAATTGGTGAACCATGTGAAAGTAGGTAATTATGGACAAAAAGAGCAAAGGATTGTAATTTAGGTTATCTTAAAGAGAATTATTACAGACTGAGAAGATTGAGGATTTCCATGGAATACTGCCACAAGCATTTAACGTTAATTTTACATGCAATTTGCTAATTTGTGGATTAAATAATATTGCCTAAGAGTACATTATTAATTAATTATCTTGCAATCTTCTTAATAGGAACACTTATCAATATGCCAAAGTTATAAAATATCTCAAAATCCGTATATTTGCAATTTAGAAAATTAAAAATTTGGAAATTTAAGAATTGAACAATTTTTGGTTTGAATTTAAAAAACTAAATCGAACTAAAAAAATTGTCAATTGCAATTAAAACAACTAAATATTAAAAAATGATATTAAACAAAATTATGAATTCTGAAACTTAAAAAAAAATGTAAAATATAAATTTTTAAACTTGTAAGTTTTACAAATTTTAGGCTTAAAAAAATTGAAGTGATCAAATTATAGCAAAAATTATCTTTCCTTGATCAACTATTCATCGCCAATATCTCATTCAAAGCAAAAATTTCCAAAACGTCCACTATTACTAAATCCATTGATCAGCAAAATTCTCGACCAACAGGTCTGTAAGACCACCCAATGCGTCCCTGAGATCACTCCTCACGTGTCAACAACGACGGAACTCGCGAAGCGGAATAGCACCAGCACCAACAAAAATTCCACTCCTCGGTGAATTTCCTGATTACCTGTCGCACCACTCTATCCATACTGTCGGAAGATATTCAGAAAACCGAAGCACCGTACGGAATGCTGAATTATAGTGACGTTTTGCGTTATAGCTGGCTTATATAGAGAGCTCGCCTACGCCTACAAAGATTCATTTCCTGTCGGGCACGGATCCTTCTCCAGTACGAGGATGATCCGCGTGGATATTCCCCCGTGTATAAAACTGGGGGTCCCTCCTTGTACTCCAGTTCACATAGGAACGCCAACCGTGTGGAAAGCCCGCGCTTTATTTCCCATTGTTTCAGGTGTCTGGCATGTGCGATTTTGGGGCGGCGCTACTGTATGAGAGGAACGCGTCTTCCAGAGCGGAGAAAGCTGATTACTTCACCGCGTGAGACACAGCCTTCCAGCGGATCTAACATCAGGACTAATTAGCCAATCGGGCCTTAATTAAGACACAGGACCATTGTCCATCCTCTTAATCTCGTGGCGTAACACTTCTCTAAATTTTCTTCCCATATCCTCATACCATACTAGGGAATGACGCACAATTTTAGGTTATGTTGTTTTAATACAAGGAGAAGCGGTGAAATGATTTCATTCGTATTCTATCTTTGGTAAATTGAAGGTATTGTAGTGTCGAGCATCTGGAATTTTAAAGAAGTATGTGCACGCATCAGGAAAAAGTCGGGGTCGAGGTTGACGTCGCGAACTTGATCTGATCTGTACCGGTTTCTTCTATCGAGTTGATTTATGAAATGAATTAGAAGGAGAAAAAATTAGGAGTGACTGATGGTCGAGGATTAGATTGGAATATATGATGCTGATGATCAGTTGGTTATGAAAGTAGCTAATTAAGGTAATTACTGATATTTAAAAGAGGTACCAAATGTCAGTATAATAAGCGGTACTATACTAATACGACCACCTATTTTCGAGCGTTATTTACAAGTCATGAATTAATAAAATTTAGCTTCAGTTACGTTTATAGAAAAATCCAATACTTATCAATATTTGAAAAATTTAAAGATAGAAGAAATGAATAGCTGAAGTGCATAAATAGATAAATGAATGTGCAAAGTATGTACTGATAGTTAACATTTATGTGGCCGTAATCTCGTTTCACCTGTTGCATTTTTTTAATTTGATATTAGATTGATTACCAATATTAGAACTAGTCTCTACTGTACTTTAAGATTAGTATTACTGTTAAATATTAATATTAGTATCAATAACTATGTATGAATACTAATGAAATGCTTTATATGTCCATCTTATATACCTGACAGGCCAAAAAAAAATATTTTGATAGAGTGTTTGCTACTCCGTGAAGACAATCGAAGTTGCGTCAGAGTACAGAGGGAGATTTATTTATTCCATCGTTGACAGACCGCAACGCATCTCCGTGAGTGTCCATAATCTTGGTCAATAATATTATACATGCAACGACGCGTGTCAAGGAATGGCACGAGCTTGTGTTTAACGCAAATGTGTAACGCAAACGAACGCTGGATGGGACAAGATCGGCACGCGGTCTTATTTAGAAAGTATCCTCCGTATTTGAATGGCGTGAAAATTATCTTTCGAACTGGTCATTTCACCTATGCGACTATGTTATTACATTACTGTGAATAATCACGTTTCGTAATTCATCTCCGTTGAATCCTGCTTCTTCTATACCGGTGAATGATGACATTTTATTTATCTGGTTCATTCAAGCAATATTTATAGTCTTGTTTCAGTTTATCGAGGTTACCAGAAAGAAAATCTAATAATTTATTAGTAATAAATATGATGGTACTAATTTGAGTGATTTATGGGATGCCTCCCATGGTGGTATACTCTGAAAGTGCACATTATTAACCTAATTGAAGGGTCGGACAATGCAGTTCTATAAATGGTTGGTCCAACGAAGTAATAAATCCACAATCATAATAATTTTACATTCTACTAGTTATACTTATAATTTCTAAGGCGTGAAATTTTACTTGACATATGAGTATGAATAGATAAATATTGACAATTTTCTTCTAAATTATAGAATAACATCGAGAAGTGGTAATTAATTAAGTCATTCACCAGTCAAACAACTGAGAACAGTTTTTCATGTCCTAGGACCTCTTTGAAGTTAGGCAAACGTAACGAAATTAATAATAATCGTTAATCTTGTTTAGGACAATAGGCGTAATCATGAGCTTACGATCTAATCTCTCGGATCAATGAGTCAAATAAACCTAATCAAGACCGGTTTATTGTTTATTTAGTGTGCGAATTCTCACTTTCGATTCCTTTCGTAACCTTTCCCTGATTGTTCGCCGTTACGTGAACGGAAACAATTGCGTTGCGATAAACACATACTCCCTCTAGGGACTATTTGCTTAATTAACAATTCTTAGAAGATTTCGGGGTAATTCGTGCTCTAGTTACCGAAAAGTTGCCACTTCATTGTTTCACTGAAAAATTATTTGGTCCCACCCTTATTACGTAACGTACAAATTTGCATTATCTTTGTTATGAAATTCTATAAAAAGAAACATTACCTTCTGGTATTATTATAATTTATATTTTATTCTAATTTATGGTTAAAATAACTTAAACTATTTGATATTATACATCTTTGTTATCATGATCCCTCGTAGCATATATGTAATGAATGATAGGAAATTAATTATTTATGAAAATGAAATATAAAAGATTTACAATTTTTTTCCTATTAAATAAGATTAAGGTTTTTAATTTAGTAAAATTATACAAATTATGATTCAGCTTTTTACGTTAATCATATTTCTGCATTTTCAGAATTTTTCAGATATCATAGTAGAATTTATACGTAGATAATAAGAAGATAAAACATGATACAAATGATATAGGATCTTCCTACTTTCTCCAGACGATTAAAAAGGATTCTGCAGACGATCTATTTAGATAATCTTTTTCTCTCTGAAGCATGATAGACAAGGTCATTATGCGCTCAAAGGATGCTCTAAATTCATTTCAATTTTACGCAACGCATCCTTCAGCACAATTTGACCGATCTCCTCTTTCTCTCCTCTATATGTATATGGTTTGATGTTACCATATCTCGTTGTGAAACAGCGTGATGTGAATAATGAATTAACTGGACGAAGAAAAGGCATCATCCCAGTGGGCGCCTAACAAAAAGTCCATTATTTCATCATAGTTGGCGTCACGCGACCCCTTCGATCTGACATCGAGATCGAAAGTAAATCAAGGATGCATATAAAAGTGCTTAAGCACTTTCAAGTCAGTTTTACGTAAAGATGAATCGAAAGGAATCGCGAGCTTCTCAGAAGCCGAATGTATCAACTCCTCACTTTTTGTAAAATTTTCACTTATTCTATTTTTTTTTTTATTCACACATGTATATCCTATTTAACTTTAAAAATAATAATATATGAATAATATAGGATAAAATTAATATGAGATTTTTCAATTCTAAGAATTAATTAAAAATTTTCTAATGTTTTTTTGTCAGGAATATACTACAAAAAATTTTTTAAAGTTTTTTAAGATAATCAGAGTTTCAACTATAAGTTTATACTAGTAATAGTATCTGATGTATGATATCTTTTGTAATGTTTACGAAATTTGTACTCGAGATTGTTCTCGAGCTTCTTCTTCCAAGGAATGTCAATATGTTGTGGCAATTACGGAGGCCCGAATAACGTATAATGAAGGACGTGAATAGCGTGAAAAAAACAATGCTAGATAATGTCAATATCAAGTCGACTATGACTCAAGATTAATCTTCTAATTCGTGCCAAATTAGGATACCATCTACCAGTATGAAATTATGTGATATAACTTATCTTGATATTGTGGGATTGTGGAACGGAAGCTCTAAAATTTTTCATTTCTGTATTTCTAAGCTTTTACATTGTCGAATTTGTACATATTTCCGCATTTTTTATATTCCTACATTCAAATTCCTACAAATGTATTAACATCTTATTGACCGTTCCGAATGAAAAATCAATTGTTTCATATATAGTCACTTGTAATATTTAATTAATGCAAATGTAAATTGTTTTCTATTCCTCGCTTTCAGGGAGTGTTCAAATCACAACATTATATAATCCTTTTCATGTAAAGTTTTATTCTGCACTTTCACTATTTAAGGTTATTAAAGTTTAGAAAGATTATGCGAAATTATAGAAGTAATCTTACCTAACAAGAAAACGTGATCATTACTAACTACGTACTTATGTTACGAAATTCATCATTAGCTAACCACAATAGAGGCAAACAGCGCCAAATTTGAATTAGGTCCTATCAATATCCTATCTATAGGATATGTACTATAGAAAGTTGACAATATATATTTGCCTCTCCAAGTGTATCGTCACAATAATTGGTATCCTAACAAAAATGTCGCAATTTCCTATCGCAAATGAGTATTTACAATAGATCAAGATCTCAAGGTTAAAAATGAAAAATAATTTCTTCATTAATTCATTCTCAAGTTACACTTTTTATATTCCTCAGATTGAATAACTATTATATGCTCTTGAATAATTATATATTCCTAATAAAAAATTAATAACTTTGGATTAATAAAGTATTTTAAAAATTGTTATTGAAAAAATATATCAAAACAATTATTTAATTATATACATGTCACTGTCTTCGTTGACGCTCTCGTTTGAATTTACTAACAGGCCTAGCATTGGTACTCTTTTCCATCTTTTCTACAGCTTCGTTTGTAACTTTTAGCGTGTTCTTCTCTTTGATATCTTTCACTACCTAAAAATTATAAAAATATTTCCATCATTTCATATTACTATTATAAAGCAGATTTGTATATTAAAAGATTGTATATATTTTTTATGAATTACAATTTCATAAACTGAAGGTTTAACAGTGTCCTCGTCTTCTTCACCCTCGTCTTCTGTGCTATATTCTAGTGGAGCAGACTGCTCAGGAGGCAAATCATTTGGTGATCTTTTCAAGATAGATTTAGGTTTAGAAAGTAATCTATAAATATCTGCAGGTGTTTCTATCGAATCTCCATTCGATTTTGTAACCGATTTATTTTTAGAGTGAGTGAATTCTATCCGAAGAATATCTTCTTCAAAATCTTTCTCCTTTTCTTTCATCAAATTTTCTTTTTCTTTTCTTGAAAGATCTTCTGGTTCTGCGAATGAAACCAATTTCTTAACTTTACAAGTTTTGACTTTATGTTGATATGTATCAGAATCAGGAACTTGTTTGTTATCTTCCTTAGAATCATCTTCTTTTTCTTCTTCCTCACTATTAGAGGAACTTTCAGATTCATAATAACATTGTCCTTCTTCCAATTCTTCTGCTCCAAAAAGTTCATATGCTTTATCTCCTAATCTATTAATGAGAATAACATTAAAGAAAATTCGAAATTTCAGGAATTTCAGAAATTAGAGTGTTTATAAATGTACCTATTTAATTCATCTGCTAATTCTTCTTCAATTTCAAGCTGATCAAGCCTATTAAATAAATCATCTTCTGTCTCTATCTTTTTCCTGTCTTCCTGTCTAAGTTTGGCTAATTTCTGATGATACTCTCTTTCCCTTTCTCTGTGTTTTTCTGTAAGAAGAATTAAAGGATATTTAGATACATATATAAATCTATTCATAAAGAAGAGATGAGAATAATTACTCTTCCATTCTGTAATTTGATCTTCATTCCAATGTTCCACAATTTCTCCACCAGCATAATCTTCAAAAAGATTGTTTTCTATCATCATCATCCTAGTTTCATACAAATCTCTTTCTTTGTTTAAGTTCTTTAGCATTTCTTCAGCTTCTAGAAGAAAATTTTACAACTATCGTTCATTAAATTCTAATTATTAATAGATTATTGCTATTTCACAATATATTGATCATACTTTGTATTCTTCTTTCACAAAGGGCAGCTGCGCCTGAAGCACTATACTTTGCGAAGTATCCATCACCCAAGCAGGCAAGTATTTCATTTGTGTGAATCAATTTGCCTTTCATTAGTGCTCGTTTTCCAATTGGCACCATACAGTTTACATATAAATCCTTCTGGAAAGTTTGCAACGTTTCTGCAACTTTCTGATGACCCTTCTTGTAAGTTGTCCATATTTTGCACTGTTCCTCGTTTTGTTGGATTCCCTTAAAAAATATTACACATTTTTTAGATACATATTAATTTGCAATTTACAGAATTATATTGTGAAATATTTTATCAAGATAATTAATTTTAGATTTGTGATAGAACAAGTTAAATAAAGAGTTAATTGTTTAATGAATTCTTTTGTTTCTTCATTTTTATTTAAGAATCTACCTTTGCAAGAGCTTCGTCCAAAAATAAACGTCGAACTTTCTGCGTATCGTCCTCAAAATTCATCGTTAAATTAAAAAGGTTAAATAACAATATTTCTCAAAGACGAGGAAATATGATTAAAAATCTCTACTGACAGTAAACAAAAGATAATGCTATTCATTTTTGTATTATCAACTCTGATATTACATATACGAAAACATAATGACAAGTATATTAATATTAGCACTAATATTTTGCAATAATTTTAAATCCATAGATTACTACAAATCCATAGATTCTGTCCAGTTATATAAATCATTTAACATAATCACATTTCAATCTCAGTTTATATTGCTATAATTTTTATCGAAAATACTCTTTTAAATTGTTTAATTCTTCAAACATAACCTAGAAAATCCTATTCAGATCTGAAAAATCTTTGCAACACTGTGGAAGATGTTACCGTATAAGCGATAGTATAAAAGTTATTACACTATATAATATTAATTTTTGTAATAATCTAAGTATATGACATAACTTAAATTTATCTTAATTTCATTATTTTTTTAAAGAAAAGTAAGAAAAATTATTATTTTATTTAACAGAAGTATAAATATATTCAAATATAGTAAAATAGAGGAAATACAGAGGACGCTAAGATCGCAGTACGATACTTATTCACTAGAGACACGTGGTAATGTCTCTTATTGGTTCATGATCTTCTTCCTTGTTTCCTTTTTCCGTTGAAGAGGAGTAATCGCAAGATGGTCAGTGAATTGTTGGAAATCTCTTTTTATTTAAAACATCCTTCATAATTGTTATTTAGTTATTTGATTACAGTATTTTCCATTGCGATTTTTGTAAAGATATCGTAACATTTTTGTTGACGGAATCGCGTTTGATGACAAGCGTGCGCATAACCTCTCAATGCTTTAACAAGATATTTAACATTTTATTTTTAAATAAAAATTTTTCGCTTGATCACTCGTTTTTATGTATGTTAATTATGTTTTGAACATGTTAATTAATTAAATTGAATGTTACTTCGTTTCAATTGACAATCAATATTAGGGAGGTATTATAAATTTTCATTAGCAGCAGCATCAAAAGAAACATGTGTCGAATGCTGAAATTATCGAAATGTGTAAAAGTGCAATTTAAAGAGCAGTGTTGTGTTGTCGTTTCAGGGTAAGGTTAAGTGTACTGATCTGAGGACAAAAGACAAAAATGAGTTGCTTAAGCAGCTGGAAGAGCTCAAAACTGAGTTGACAAATCTTCGTGTGGCAAAAGTTACTGGTGGTGCTGCATCTAAACTTTCGAAAATGTATGTATATATTTTATACAAAACCTTTATTACTTTACCTCAAAATTTAATTTTAGTTAAAAATTTAATTACTATAAAGTCAACGTAGTAATTTAATATAGCTTCTATATTCGTCAGATATATATAATTCAACTCAATTTTACAGAAAATAAAAGTTTTTATTCATATCTTCAATTAATATATTTAAAAGTAGTATTAAGTGTTTTAAACAATTAAAAAATTATTTGAATGAGTTAATATTTTTATTTTTGTTTTGTCTGTATTTCAGCCGAGTGGTGAGGAAGGCAATAGCTAGGGTATACATTATTATGCATCAGAAACAAAAGGAAAACTTGCGTTTATTGTACAAAAATCACAAGTACAAGCCTTTGGATCTGAGGCCAAAGAAAACTAGAGCTCTTAGGAGAGCTTTGACGCCTCACCAAGCTAAAAAAAAGACTGTGAAAGAAATGCGTAAACTATACGCTTTCCCTGTAAGGAAATATGCTATAAAGGTGTAAATTGCGAGGTACTACAGGATAAAATAAAGGTTTTTTAAAAATTCAAAACTGTGTTACTTTTCAAGATTTAAGGACAAAAAGGGACAATTTTAAACTTATTGGCAAATGCTTTTTATTTTGTATAGAAAAAGGGTACAAAAGTTAAACTTAGATATATGCAGCTTCTAGTTAATCTAAATCTAATGCAATTCTTGATTGTTTAATATCTAATCGATAAAATTTTAATTCAACTGATTTAATTGATTTCAAGGATATAAATTCATTAGAATATAATTGTGAATGAATGAAGAGATTTAATTTAATTTTTAATTATAATGGATACATAATGACATATAAATTAAAAGTCAAGAAATAGAAAAGTTCCTTGCTATTCTTGGTTGATCAAGAGATCTTAGGTACTGAACATTCAAGAATTCACAGAAGCTATAAAGAGAAGCTTTTAAAGGCGAATGCCAGGGTTTCTGGAAAGCACGAAATTCAAAAGTTCGTCGCTGTCTTCGCAGACAAATGGTTTCCTATGATGGCAGGCTACGTCGTGCCATTTGATACCGTCATTGTAGAAGTTATTCAGGATCGACAAACAAGACTCGTCGTTACCCTGTAACATAATTCCATGTATTATAAAACTATCAAAAACGCAGAACAAAAGAAAAAATTAAAAAAAAGAAAATACAAAAATAAATTACCTGAGCAGCTTCACGATTATCAGGTTGTGCTTGGCCATATCCACCAGTGTGACTCCAATCTCCAGAGTTACGCTGTGTGGTAGGACCAATCTTAGCTCCAGAACCTGACCAGAACCATCCATTGATATTTTGTGGTTGGAGATCTGGCCTATCACAGCCATTGAAGTTGCATTTACGTCCAGATGTCCAAATATACCTTACATTTCCTACATAAAGATAGAAATGAAAAAAACTTCAAAGTGTAAACATAATGAGAATAACATTCTCTTCTATAATTAACCTCTTGCTACTCGCTGTTTGATAAATTCATTTTCTTGTGGCGTTTCAAGAGAAACTGCATCCATACAGTGTCTGCGACAGATATTACGTGAATCTAGCCAGTCTACTTCAAGGCTTCTAGTCGGTTGGTGCTCCCAACTGAAGAAGTATGAATGTGCAACACCTCTAGCGTCCCTATAAGTAGCATGTCGTACTCCTGAAATAATATTTAAATAATCATTCATTATGTTACAGTAAAAATAGTAAAATAAGATGTATTATGGTTAATGAACACTTACGGTTAGCACAGCTTCGTGGATCAGGCAGGGCCAGTCGGCGTTGAGCATTCACCACAACGGCGACGAGAACCAACATCAACCATATCGCCCTCATATTTGTTGCACCTGGACAAAAGGAGAAAAAACAATCAGATCTCTATACTTGATATAATAATCCAAATATTTTTCTACTTGAGAAGCGCCTAACATCCAATTAAAGAAAAGATATTATATTCAAGAAGTTCAATATCCGAGGCGACCTCGTTTAATGGAAAAATAACAGATAGCGAATGTTCCAGGAAAACATGGTTTCTAGCGTCGGATGTCTAGCGAGTAAAAGTTTCTTGGGAACGAATCTTTGTCGAGGGTGAAAGGAGACTTTTCAACGGTGAATTATGAGCTACGAAGGAGGAAAGGATCTCTCACGACGGTGATGGAGAAAAATGCTGGAGGATTTTGCAACAGGTCTTTATTTTTTTGTGGCGTGCCGCCGACTTTCCTCGAGGCCTTTATTGCCATGCTGCAACTTTCTAAATCGTCCTCGCGACAAAACAAAACGTCGGACGATCCGCAATTAATAGCCGCTCTGGCTATCTGAATATGAAGCAATTATCTCAATAACGTTCTGTAACGTAAGAGATGATGTTTCTTAGAATGTAGATAGTACGAAGAAACATAATTTCACGAAGATCGTGAGATCGTTATCTGTACTGACAACTTGACAAACAACTAGAAGAAGATGTAAGAACTTCAAACTCCTTGTGCTTAATACGATAGTTTCTAAGTATGCAGATTGGCGACACTTTATGGAAATTACTGGGAATTGGGTTGATTTCTGTTTTACACGCATAAAATGCATTAGCTAGAATTAAATCTAACTTCTACAGAATCAAAGTTAATTTGATAATTACCATGTTACTTTGGGTGGTTTTGAAAGAATTCAAAAGTCGCGCTACATTCAAATAATGTGATTTAAATTGCACAGGTAATTCAAACGCAATGCCGTTAATCATCTTTATTACAGTCTCCTGTTTTCATTTTGCACATATACATATACGTGTAGCCATTTCTGTTTTAATACAGAGGCACTATTGGTTTCTAATGGCAGATCTAATATCACGTTGTAATCGACGGCATTTCCTTTGAATTAATTAATTACTGATATAATATTTACCCTGTATAGTAAGCAGAAATATGATCTGTTTAGAAATTTGAGAATGTAGCAGATGTGATCTCTATCTTGCATAATACCGATATTAGCTATTTGGTATTTTGATTAAAATACATACACAAAAATTAAATAGTTTCTACGTTTTATAATCTTTTTATCAGCAAAAAATCTATTGGAAAGCGAACATTCAAAGAAGATTAACTCCTTAAGATGGAAGTTTATGACTTAATGAGAAGGAAGTTGCTCATTTTCATGTTAAAATATAATTACATTTACCTTTGCAATCAGTGTACTTTCCATTTCATAATTCATATAATTGAAGTAGTTAATGTACCGCCATTGCGTTAAGCAGTTTGTGTTCGATTATCATATTGAATAACAATGATTCTTATTTAGGATTCCACGCCGCTGCGGACTTAATGAAGCTCCGCACTTAATGGCGTGGCTTTCGCTAAAAATTAGTGTCAGCGGTCATTCACCTGGATTGAAGAAATGCTAATGCTATCCCGGAAGAGATAATTCAATTATAAACTAAATAACTAAGAAACTTCGTGTACAAAACAATCCTCGACCGCAGAAGATTTTAATGTACAATCGCTCACAAAAGTCTTTCAATTTTTACCACAGAACACTTGTATGTATGTATTGTACGTATTACATAATTGACATTACATTTTGAAATTCCATTAGGACTGTAATGAGGCACGATTGCCATGATTGTATTGGCAAAATTGGAAATCAATCTGAAGATGTATGAAATTTCAAGGTACTTATTGGAAAAATATATTTGATAAAAGATTAGTGTAATCATTTTAAATATAGTAAGTGTTAAAGATGATCCCAAGTATTTAGTCTTATTAATACATATAATAAGTAATCGCTTGTTTAAATACTTTTATGATTTCTATGAAATATATACTTGCTCTAAGTATTTTGTAGTTTCTATGTACATACTTAGATTTGTTTTAAACCTGTGTTTCATGTAATGCATATAATATATATATTTCTAAAAGGTCACCAGTCTTGCAAATTTGCATAATTCTCAGTTAGAGCTAATATTTGATTAATTGAATTATAAGAGTCATTTCAATGATTATCTGACGCAATACGGCATTCCAGTCATCTCCTCATGAATTTCCACAGATTTAATTATCTTCATAAGATTTGAATCCTCCTGTTTTAATACTAAGCAGCAGAATAATTATATGTGAAAGTTACGAACTGCACTAATTAGAGTTTTGAGATGAAGAAACGAGTTGTGACCGATGTATGAATCATTTTATCAATTGCGGCTTACGATTAAACGACCCTACGCTTTCGTTGAGGATTCTCCGGAAGCAAGATGTTAAACGGGCTCGACATACCGGATGAGACTTTCGACAGAATGTTTTTTTATCTATCGCGCAAGAATTTTATTGTTATCCTGTCACGAAGAGATTAAGAAATTCTACGAATTAATTCTACGAATCTACTAATTATGAGGATGTTCATAGAAATCCATATCTTTATAAACACAATAAAAAGAATGAAACCTTAGCAGAGATTTGTTTTACCTATTAGAATATTTATTTTACTTTGGATATTTCATGTGTGCATTCTGTGCATAGAAATGAAATCAAAGCAGAGATTTATTTCAGAGTACCATACACATATTTGATATTTGATATTACATTAAATATTATGTATATTTTTCACTTTTCAATTCCTGCCACACTGATCTATCTAATCACAAACAAATGTGGCAAAAAATACATACCATTAATAAAGAATGTTTTTAATCGACTTCTACATTTCAAATAATATAATATATAGTCGGATCTAGTTTGTACTTAGTACATAAATACCAATGCCAATATTTTTTGCGATTTTTATATTTAACAATATAAGATAATATTTTTAAAAATTTTATTGAGGTTTTTATAGTTATATTTTTCGCATTATTGTCTAATATTTTTATGTATTTTATGGGTTAGGTGTAAGTTAATCCCTAGTTAAAGGGTGAGAAGTACGTTGGCAATAGAGGAAGAGAAAGAGGGAGATATCGTGGCTTTATTTTGTATCCGCGTATGTGCTCGTGGAACCGTTATCTGGCCGGCTTTATATCGTCCGGTTTACGTGGTCGTCTGTGTGCTCTACGTCTTTCTTAACGGCTCCTCGTCTGTCTGTAAGCCCGCTGCATACGCGTATTCGGGACGAGTACAACGATACAAAAACGAGACAGGAGCGTGCCAATGCGTTCGACGGAGTAATAAAGAAAGAGGATAAAGAAAATCGGTGCCGCTTCAATTTCGACTTTCGCCCGATCCAGATCGATCGAGGATCGTTACTTCATCCGTGTTCTATTTCTTTGTGACATGTTTCGTTTGTGCATGAATTTTTGGTAGTATATGTATACTGTATGTCGAACGAAATTATGGATTCATCGATGGGTGCCCATATATTCAACGTCAACATACGCAGAGGTATTCTCACTTGTGTGTTAAAATCATGCTTATGCAAATGCGTTCTTGATGACATGTGGGTCACCGGTGACACCTGTTCCATTTACATCTTCATTTTTTTTCTTAATGTAATTTACAATGATTTAAATTTGTTCGTGCATTAATTGTAAATTCTCAATTATTTCAAATTACATTAAAATTATTATATTAAAAAAGAAATAAAGCTGTATCTGGAACATTGATTTTATAATGTAATTTAGAATGATTTACAATGAACAGTTACTGCATCAAACAATTTTTAAGTTGCCTTATAATATTTTTTCAACTTTCTGATGGACTAATTGCCATTTTTTAATTATTTTCAATTACATTAAAGAATGGAAATGGTAAAAATTTAAATATTCATTTATAATGTAATTCAACAATATTCTTCTATTATTAATATAAGCATTATTATTATGTAAGGCATTTTTAAACATTTGAAAAATAATTTTTGAAAACATTTTTATGTAAGCTATCATTTTTGAATGGTTCAATAAGGAAGTATTAGTTTAGGAAAAAAATTGATCTTTAATTCAGAAACTTTTGCTTAGCGTGTTCAATGAGGAAGAGAATTTCTCTTCGATTCAGTCGGACAAGTAGTTTCGTGATGGAAATCGCGAGCGTAAAAGCTGGTTTGCTTCTTTTTTCTCCTTTTACGGAGGATATCGTAATGAATTCTTGGCCGAAGTAATACTTCACGTGTTCCACAAGTTGCATCGTTGCGTAGACTTGTGGAAATCTTACGCAAGGAAAGTATATACCTTCGCAAAGATAAACCCCATCGCCTCTCACGAATCAGAGAGAAAGTGAGTGATCTTCAAAACAAACGTGTTCACCTAAAATCTCAGATGAGGCAAGCAACGATAGCGAAAGATAATGCAGAAATTTTTCTTCTTAGAGAATGAAAGATGAACAGTAAAATTCTTTGTTAATAATTTCTACGTCTGAATTCAAAGAACAAAGAAGATGTAATTAGTATTTATTAGCTAAATTTCTTGTTCTTAAACTATGCATACATATATGGAAAGCGTGAGAATTAATGAGCGGAATCTCATACATAGTGTGAATTTGGTTAAAAGGTTCGAGAACAATATCATGAGGCACGTATGAAGAACTGTGAAATAGCTAATTGAGCATAAATCATTAAGTAAAGGTGATTGAGAGTGCGTCGTTAATTAAGAAGGTATCAATTATGTACGCTTTTGTTTGCTAAAATGGAGGCTTTAATTTGATATCGAAACAAAGAACTGAATCGCAAATTGGGCTTTGCTAATTTCATTACGTAATATCATACAAAAATTTTCTACGACAATTTTGGTAAACAATATCTTATTATTAGCTAACCTAACATATTTCGAGGTTCGAACAATGGCGCATCAAATTTGTTCAAATTTCTCCCCCCAAAATTTTATATTATAACAAAAAATAATTTTTATTTTTTTTTAATTAAATAATCATTTATTATGTCATTATTTAGCGATAAAACTTATATTTTTATTATCATAACATTGGAAATCTTTTAAATGAAAAATTTAAATTTTGAAACGTCATTATTAGAATCTCGAAAACTCTAAATTCTAAACAATCACATACTAATTGATTATTTAGTAATTAGTTAAAATGAATTTATCGAACTATAATTTTACTACAATTATTTTATCTCATTTTTACTATGCTACTTATTTGCTATATTGCATAAATTCTACAATACTATTTTCAACTTATATACGTTCAAAATTTTAGAATTTTATTGACTTTATTTTACAATTCAGAGACATTTTAAATACATGGGACGATACATTCACCAAGATTTTTATTAAAAGGTGAAAGCAATGAGAATCGATGATAGTTGAACTCGCAATGAACCATCACGTACCATTACTGCGGGCATAATGCGCGCGATGAAACGCGCGAAAATCAGTTAGAAGATAGGACCATCGAAGAGAAAGCTCGAAGAGTCATAGCGCGGGTCAAGCAATGCGACCGTTCGATTCATGAAGTCGCTTTCGATTTCTCCAGGTGCACTTACCTAAAGGGAATCTTCCTCTGGACACTTTGTTGACCTTTGTTCACCCTTGACGATCTTCTACCCAAAAAGTCAATGACAGGAGTAAATTGTCAATAAAGGTACTAAGATACGAAAGAGTATAACTAGAACTTCTTTCGTATATATAGATTGGTATTAGTTTGGTTTCGCTTAGGCCAATGGGGAACGTACTTAAGCTCGTCTACGACTTGTCGATCGCGACGAGAAAGAAGAATGAACTGCGATGTACGAGCAAGCAACCGGTATATAGCCGGCCCACATTCCCTTCTGGCTCGAGTAACCCAGATTCTTCCCACTCGAGTGTGTCTGGGGAGCATCTCCGGGGGCCTGAAAGGGGCCCTGGATAATTCCCATCTTGTCCCGGCACCTCTCACCGGTCGCTTCCCTCTTGCCCGTTACTCGTGTGAGCTTCCTCGAACTCTTTCGGAGCTAGAATTCGTTTTTCTCGCGTTGCAATCCGTAGCTGGTAATTGGATTCTCCTTAAGGAATTGTCCTTCCGCTGTTTAGCTTTGCTCAGACTCGTTAGGTTTCATTGATGAACGTATCTATTGCTATTTGGATTACTTCTAGTATTATTGTGATTTTTTAATGAAGAAAGAATGGTGAACCAAGGATGTTTGCAATTTATAGGAATTCTTGTCACATTTGGATTATCTTTATACTTGAATTGTTTCCAATTCTAGGAGTTGATTTTTGAATAGAGGAAGAATATTTTCAAATATATTTACAATGAGCAGGATATTTGGATTATTTTTAGCATTAGAATATATTGGAAATTTGTTTTTAAATGAAAAAAGTATATTTACTATTGAATTTATAGGAATTTTTATAATATTTGGACTATTTTGATTATTTTTAGTAATAGAAGATAATGGGAATCAATTGTTGAATAAAGTGGAAGGAATTCTTATACAAAGTATATTTACTACAGAATTTACAACAATTTGAATCATTTTTAGTATTGTTATTATAATATCGTATTATCAATGGAAATTGATTGTTGAATAAAAAACGTTTTTATATCGAGTATATGTACAATTGAACTTATAGTAATTGATTTCTATTCAAGATTTGAAATACGTGTATAAAATGTCACATTTAGAGTAACTACAGAACCGTGCTATACATATATTTATAGCATAATTAACTTTGTACAATTAAATATAAGATTCTATTTATATTCACTAGAATTCTCAGTAAATGTGTTCTTTTAATACATTCTCTTGCACTAAAGTAAAGGTTGTGCTTGTGTCTTCCTCATTATATATACTAATATTGTATGAAGATAACCCATTATAGATGAGCAGTATTGAACCTAATGAAACCCATGCACCACAAAAAAGCTAGGCTTTCACTCTTCTTCTTGAATACATTTCTCTACCAATTCTCTCAAGTTAGGATTTTCCATGGCAGCTGCAATTCTTTCCTTATCGTTTATTTGTTTATTTACTGAAATGTAAAACATTTAATATACATTAAGATAAATTGGTAATTGTTATATATGGAATGATTGATTGTACTCACTTTCTTGTTCTGTAGAGTGTGCACCTTTCCTAATGTATATATCTAGTTTAAAAAGGGCTACTAAATGACGTTCTAGTTTCACTCTAATACATAAGCCAATCAATGTTGCCAGAGAACAATGGGGCACTGTTGGATTGAATTCAATACGAATTACAGAAACTCCTTTGGGAGTTTGCCTCAAAATCTCAACACAGTCTTCATAAACAACGTCCAATTGCTCCAACGTTTGTGGTTTCTCTGGATCCTTGATTGTCCTTAACAAATCTGTGATTTTAAGTTTCGTAAGTTTTGATAAAATAAATGGATTGCTAGTGAATCCTTTTGCATTAAAATATATTACCCATCTTCTGATTAATTAAAAAAAACAAAAAAAAAACTTTATAAGTGAAATTTATACAACTGCAGGTACGAAATATGTAATGTCAATGATGCTTAATTTTTAGCAAAATTTTTAGTCATTAAATAGGTGTACTGTTACTAACTTGTTTACGACTATTGGTTAAATAAGGGTTTCTATAGAAACTGTTATTAATAAGCAATATAATAAGTTGATTCAATGAGAATTCTATTTATATTCGATTTATAATATGAACTTGCCATAAACGGACTCCTTCAGCTCAGTGTCAGACTGCGAGATCAAACTTTGGTTTTTCGCATCCAGATATCCTTCAACAGCCTCCATTTCGTCGTTCGTCGGCACACCATCTCTTATCTTTCCCCCCAGAGAAATTTTTCGTAAAAATGACAACATTCTTGCCCCGTTCCCCCCTTGTCACTTGTAACAGTCAACGATACATCATTAGAATTTATTTATGTTGTGACTGGATATTACAGTGGACCTAACCTCTGGTCAACAACTTGCAGAACGTATAGTAAGTGCGTCATCGTGGCGCTGAAGTTCAATGATGAACAACCTTCCCGTTCCAAGTTTGTTATACCAAATTATATTCCAATTCAAAAGGAAAACAATTCGAAAAAAAAAAATGATAATTAATGCGAGTATTATTGAATAATACGAAGATCATGGAGGTTAGATGCAATATGCGAACGGATGATTTTGGAAAGGTAAATGAATTGAAAGTCTAAAGTTTTTAAATGTGTGTAACATTAGATTATTGCAAATTTATTAATGTAAAACTTATTAGACCTCGTACAGACCCGTATGTTTTATTTTATTTAGATATTACATAAATTTTAACATATTGTTCGTATTTTCGTAGAATATAGATATGGTAGGCATAATTATAATATATGATCGAAATTTTATGATATATAATCATGTTACATCAATTGTAATCTGATCTTATCCAAGGACAATTCCAGATTATAATAATTTAACTTTATTAATCCAAGCTGTCATACTTAATTTATAATTTTATGTCGATTTGTACGCTATCTGTTGATGTTCAGTATAACTAAAACAGCCTTGCAAGTTATTTTTAAAATCTGATTTTGTCTCAAAAAGCAAAATTAATCACCCTATTGTTTTGGTGTAATTTACTTGTCAGATTTACTGATTATAATTACTTACTTGTTCAATCGTAGTATTATTAGATTGCGAATATTTATACATTATTGGAAAAGACAAAATGTACAGAATGCACATATTATGCAAACATACATAAAATATTCAAAATGCAATACTTCTTGGAATATTTAATATATAAAATAATTTATAGATCGTTAACTAATTATCGTATAATACGAGAACATAATCCCGATTTCTATGTCGATGTTTTTTAGCCGCGTGTTAATTTATTTATTTTCACTTCCTAGTATCAGTACTATAAATACATATAATTTGTTTGTTTTGTTGTTGTTTGTGAAAAGAGGAACACCTAGTGAATTGCATGTGTCCAACTGAAAATGACTTTCATGAATAAGAGCAAATAAAGCATCTGTGAATGAAACGATCGGTGTTCTATTCACCGATCAATTACCTTGACACAGTAATCTAAATGCCAGTCTATATCAATAATGTGAGGTGGATTATTGCCTATCAATTCCAATTGAGACTGTATTGCCTTTTTATTATTAATGTATACTTCACATAATTTCGTAATTCTTTTTTCACCAATATATACAAGATTTAAAAAACTTCTTAAGCTTTCTTCATCTAAATCATGTCGGGTAGCCTCTATAAGTAAACATACCACATCAGCAAAAACTTTTTTTGTTAAAATTGGTTTCGCATCAGATGTTTTGATAGTGCCTGAAATTTTATTAGTTTCAATAATTATGTTAATTAATCTTATTTATATTTGGCAATTACACCAAAACAAATACTCACATTTTATTTCTGAAGGATTTTCATATATATATGAAGTAGCCATCCCTAAAATTTGTAGAAAGTTATCGTCCGTAACAATATTTGTGTTTAGAATATTAGCAAGACCATCAATGGTGTCTTTTGATAATTCCATCATTATATCCTGAAATACTAAATTCACTTAATGATACACTAAAATCAATTGAATAGTATAACTTTCAAATAATTTAATTGCTTTTATAATATATGTCCATTGGGATGACTTCATTTTTAGAACTATGGAAAATATATAAATATTCAACTAAATTTTAAAATATCGAATAAAAATTTCATAAACATGATATGTGAGGTTATCTTTCATAATTGCCAACTATGTATGTTATCGATTTTCAATATCTGACCTATTATAATAATAAGCGGTAATATATTGAATAACTTTAATTTATTTAATTTACTTTGTAAAATATGAATATATCACAGCTAATTTTTATTAGAACCAAGAAGAGTATAGATTCTACATGTATTTATGTGTGTAGTCACAACTATAACATATTTTAATTTTTGTTATGCTTGAAGTTTTAATATATATATATATATATATAGAATATATATATATATATATATATATATAGAATATATATATATATAAAGGACATAGAAATTAACATATTGTTGTACGTTCTAACCGAACAAACAAGTTCTATGTAACTTCGGGTGAAAAAGAAATTTCCCTTCCTTATTATCATACTATACGCGTGCCTCGTTCGTCATTGTCATAAATAATGCAAAAAGACACTATACTATACGTATCCAGATGCCAAGATCCTTTTATAACCCATAAAAGATTATGAGGATTTAAAATAAGATGGAAGAACTTTCACAATAAAAAATTTAATTCATCATACATAGGCTGCGGATATTTATGCAAATTTATATTTTTACGAAGAACTTAAGCAGAAATTTGTTTTATAAATAATCTAAGCATAAATAACAGTGTAACTAATTAAAAAATAATTATTAGGCGGAAAAAGTTAATTTGTAAATTATGCTGTAATTTAGCTCCACTTAGCTTTTTAAGTAGAACGTTATACTTTTTATCTTATAGGATGTAAGCCATTTTTGATAGTCTAATCATGAATTACACTATCCAAGGTTACTTGTATCCAAGATACGAATTATTTCTTAATGCCAAATTTTAACGCTCTACAACCTTGAGCGACCTTGCATGAGATAACGCAGTTTGACTCTTATGAATAAACAGCGAATTTTTATGCAAATTCATATTTTTGAGAATGCGATTATAAAAGCAGAATGTCAACAGAAACTTGTTTTATCTACTAAATATTATAAAAAGCGCTCTTTATATTATGTTAATTTTCAAATTAACTTTCAACTTCGTTCATCTGTTCAAATTAATTTTTAACTTTCAATATGTCATCAATCATGTTTATCTATGAATTGGGGGTTAGAAAATTAACAAAAGCGGACTTAGCATGTTTATCTTTAAGCATTAGACGGATGTTCATGCACTACGAATGCATAAGCATCTACACTCTCCCTATTATCTCAACTCGCTTTATGATCTCCCTCTAATATATGTCCTTTCACCTCTAGTGAATCTCATCTGCTGAATGGAAGTGAAGCGCGGGATGGCGCATAACGACGAAAGTTCATAGTACAAAGATCGCGACCCCCTGCAACGGCAAATAACATAACCTATGTTCCGATTTGCGCCAAAGGGAAAGAGTTTGCGTTCATCTCGGGCGTTGCATCTTGCGCACGCTCCGTTCCGCAGCGAGAGCACGCAGAGAGGAACGTGTTGTAGTATCACCACCGGCGAGGAACACTGGCGAATTCGTGGAAGTTAACGGCGGTCGCGTCTGGGTCCTCCGTAAAACTGATAAACGCATTCATTCCGGCTGACCGAATGAGGTTTTAAGGTGAGAGAACGGTGCAACGCATGTCGGGCGAGGAATGCGTAAGGAAAGCTTTCTAGAGAGCCCCAAGATCCTCCTGTTTAATCCACTATCCGCGATAAAGCATGAAACTTAAAAGCTAGACTCGTGATATCCGTCTCGAAGGCGGTGGTCCAACGTGAATTGACTGGCTTGGAACATTAGAACCAAAGCATACTTGCGTTAAGAGGCTAATAACCGTTCCACCGAGTGTGTTGGCCTGGTGGTTCCGACCAAGACACTGTTGGCTGTTCTAACTTCTAACTAGGTAAGAATTGTTTGGAATTTTTATTTTGGACAAAGAACCCTATATGTATAGTGAAGTTTTACTCTTTAAGTTATTGCGTTTTTTTAAATTTATTATTTCTATTATTCTTTGTTATTCTTGTGGTTAATTACGAAATGTTTTATCAGATGTGATAGAGTACGTTTTGTATGATCCTCTTCCTATGAGGAGTATAATGAATCTGGTTGCTTTGAGTGGCTGATATCTATCACTCTGGAACGCCAAGTAACTGTAATCAAAGATATTTCGGAGAAAGTAGAAGCGTTTACACGATAGAAGACATGTAAAATAGTGTTAATTAATACGACGATTTTGCTTGCGTGAAAGTACGCCACACGACTATAGGATCAGGTGAAAAAGACTCATCGTGATTTACTGTTAATTAATCGATTATTTCTCTCATATTTCTTTTTCTTCTTTGCTCGTGTAAATGCATATTAAGAGTTAAATTTAGTAACTTGGTTTTCTATTTGAGTAGAACTGAGACAATTGAACATAAATAGAAAATATTTTAACCGCGTCGTCATATCAGTTCTTGCTTTCGTTGAGTGACGACCTATTTACTTTGCTTTCTATTTGTCCTTGCAATCAGGGGCCGTAGTTCCTTGACAATGACGTAATGCGCCAATTTTCAGTTCACTTGTAAGGAAAACGAACTTTAAATCTTGATTTAAAGAAAAACTATTGAATTAATATTAATATGATTAACCATCTAGATCTAGATTGTATTTCTGTAAATAGGGAATATGGCTCGGAAGGAATTAATCGAAAGAGTTTAAGCTTATCGATTAACGTTACGGCGAAAATAAAGATTTTACTCAAGGTCAGTCGATTGGTGTCCATAAGTAATTGCAATCTTCTTCCATTGCAAAATTTCAATCGAGTATCACGAATCAGAGTAATTCATTTAAAATTTTTTAGATTATTTCATTTATTACTTATTTTTAAACAAAATTTATTAGTTAATAAAATAGAAAAATTTCATGTATCTAGATATAGCTAGAGTTAATTAATACAGAGGTAGAAACTCGATAAAGAAGTCAGTAAATAGAAACATTGCTTTTTGCATTGAGAGAGACATATTGACCACTTCGATCGATAAAAATAATACTTTTATCTCTAGTCCTAGTGCCACCCACTTAGCGACGTAAACAAGGAAAGATACTGACGTGCTTTCCATTAAGTGCAATCGTGCAGGAGATAACGAGAATGATAAGGAATATCTTTTTGCTGTGTCATTTATTTTTTCTCGTTAGTGAAGAAATTGAAAGTCGTATATATCTTAAATGACTGGATTATATAGCAATTATCTTCAACTAAAATTAAAATCACACTCCTAATATTTTTATAATATTTATTTTACCTAGTATGAAAATTTCAGTGAGAGAGAATTTTTTCTTTTAAAATAACGTTAATTGAATTGCAAAATTTAAATATTCTGCGTATAAATTATTTATGTTTTGTAATAATATTGAATATTCAAATGAAAATTCAAATATTCAAATAAGTTATTTATATAGATAAAGATTTGTTACATTGTATACTATTAGCTTGATCTTTTAATTATATGTAATTTATTGGCAACTTAAATCATTCAATAATAGAATTATCCATTGAGAATGCAAATATCCGACGTTCGATTTCTTTGATACGGTAGAACGTCAGATGTCGCGTCGATTACATTCTTCACTAAATAATCCCCTAACACGCCACCAAAAGCGATAGGAAAATTTGTTCCATAATTGATAATATTACTTATGAAGAAAATATTGTTTTATTTAATTTATTAATGAAATGTGCATTATGTCAATGTAAGATGGGGGGGGGGGACGAAATATTTTTCATTGTTCAATTCGCACGTCCCTGATTCCAATATAACAATTTCATTTCATCTAACGCGCGTGTGCAGTAATTTCACTGAGATTTGGCGTAGTTCGATCTGAAAATTCGATTAACAGGTGTTCACTTAATTAAAAGGCTCCCGTAAGTTGCATAACGTTTCCCTATTTACGACCTTGACGACCTACTGTAACTGTGTATATATGTACACAAAAAGCTAGTAACACACCATCATATAATTCCAAGTTATGTTAGAAAAAATACCGATTACGTAACGCCATTGTTATACCCAAATATATATATATACACACATGTATATGTGTGCAGATATATTCCCACCTATTTCAAATTTGTTAGAATTTCTTCCATTATTTATATACAGTGAGTTCTAAAAACGTCTACGCCCTTTTGAGTGTAACTTTTAATTCCATGATAAGGTTCGTTAAAATATTTTTGTTACAGTTAATCAGTATCGTTTAACAAAATTTATTTCGCTAAAAGACCTAACCAATGTAATATGTATCTTATTAAAAGTCAGTCATTCGCTCATAGAAGTAGCAATTCGTTCGTAATGAAGAATAGACGAAGTGGGAATACTTTTACGATCCATTGTAGAGTTGGGGGAATTAATATATATATGTAGTGAGTTTATAAATTGAAGCGTTAAGGGTTGTATGTATCAACGTGAAGGCCACGTTGTGAACCTTAAGCCTTAGACTATAAAAGTCTCTCGTTAGAACTCTATTGTTTACAATTTTCCATTAAAATTTTTTACTAGCTTGTTTGTAAATTAAGTAGCTTGTCTCTTGCCACTATTTGTTCAATTATAATTGTAGTGGTAAAAATTAATCTTCCATGTTAAATATTAATATGCGATTTTAAAAAATATTTATACATTAACATATACAAATCTTAATCTTGAAATATTTAAGACTAAATTATGAAAAAATATAAGGATAATATAATTGAGGACATTAGGTAAGGGTTAAAACGCAACAATTGAATCAGTAAAATATATTAGAAATCAATACCTAAATTTCAAATAATATCAACTTAACTTATGTTATAATGTTAACTTTAGTTGCTGATCGTTTTTACCCCGCAATATCTCTTCCAGTATCTTCTTGTTTTAATTACGTTAATTCTGTAAGAATAATACAGTATATATATTACTTTTGAAGATTTAGCAAAATTACAGAAAAACTAAATTTAATACATAATACAGTATAAAGAATTACAGTATAAATGGTTATAATAGAAAATTATTACAATATTAGCGATAGCATTACAATAATTGTACAACGATAGCTGTGACATATAAAGCTCAATAGATAAACGTTAATTAAGTC